TTTTTTTTTTGTGCTCTCTTTATAAATTTTGAGATTGTTTTGTTCATTTATCTTATGAAGAATCTTGGAATTTCTTTCATTCATCTGTAGATATTTAGGGTTTTTACATGAGACTTTATTTTCCTGTTTCATTTCACATTTTTTCCCTTCAGGGTTCACTGATACCTCTGTTGCCTTCAGGATGCAATTAACATCCTGGAATACTTAAAATATGTGTTTCAGATATAAAATTTCTTTACATCTTTCTCTGTTTATGATATATATATATATGTATATGCATGTATATATATATTTTCTGAGTTAGGGTTTCTCTATGTAGTTTTGGTGCTTGTCTTCCATCTTGCTCTGTAGACCAGGCCGGCCTTGAACTCACAGAGTTGGTTTACATGTTTTAAAAGCCTTTTCCAGAATCTTTTTATTTCCATCCAAAAATAAAAATATCATGGGCATTAAAGTTTTTAGATTAAACCTATAATTAATTATCTTGCTTGTCATAATACATTGACTACCACTTTTATCATCACTAATTAAAAATGTCTGCTAACTCTGAAATTTTGCTGCCTTGGTTACTGGCATCTATTGTTTTCATGTATAAATATGTATATATTTATGTAATATGAGAACTTCTGGTTCTTGGTATGATGAGTTCTATTCTTTGGAGACCCAGAATGTTTTGCATTATGTCTTGGGCATCTGAGGGTTCTATACACTCAGTTTTCCTGACAGCAACCCTTTAGGATAAAGGGGCCCTGACATTGGAGTCGACAGTGGTAGACTGGGGTTTCTTGGCACCTGACAGAGAGTCCAGAGTCCCAGCTTCCATGTGGTCTCCACATCAAGCAGCTTTTAAAATGACTCATTGACATTGCACTTACATTTCCTTCTTCCCCCAAAGTCTGGAGCTGTTGCCCAAAGCATTGGAAGCCATTTAGTTCCCACTGCTACTTCATTGTGACTGGCTCAGCATCTTGGAGTGGGAGTGAGGAGAAGTGTTCCAGCATGGGTGCTCATCTGATGGTGATCCACAGCCAGGAAGAGCAGGTGCATTCTGGGAGAGAGTGGGGCCTGGGCCTGGCCTGCTGTCTGCCTCCTTTTACTAAGAGGGAGTTTTGTTGACATGGGTGTTGCTGATGTGGCAGAAGGCTTTGCATCAGGAAGCTGGAAAGGTTGCTTCAGCCTTGGCATTCTACACCTTGCCCCTGCTTCAGTGAAGCTGAACAACCCACAAGGAACCATGGCAACAGAAATGCAACCTCTGAGGTGGAGGGAAGGATGAAATGTTTCTGCTTGAAAGAGCAGTGTGTGATTACAGTATTCTAATGCTTCCTGTAGTACCCACTGCCTAACAGAGGAGGGCACAGAGTTGATTAGGAAAGGGGATCAAGTCAGGAGAGTCACAGCCAACCATCAGAAATGAAATATCTGAGGTTGTGAATGGAGAATGCTTAAATCTGCTAAATTCTCTCATGCACAACATTCAAGAATGGTGTTGGGGAAGAAAAGAGGGGAGTGAGTCTGAGATGAGAATTCATTATGATCATGGATAGAGATTGTTTCCAGTGTCATGGAAATCAGGCCTCTGAGTGATGACTTTGTGTCCTGGTCAGCCAGAGAAGATGGCACTGCTGGTTGTGTTGGTGGCTCTTCTATTCCTTGATCCTTTCTTTGTCTTCTCATCTGTGTGTGACCAGAAAAATGTCAGTCAAAATATCACAGTGTTCCTCTAAAATGTATACTTAGTGAGTTTAGTCTATAATTTGAAAACTGTTGATGGACCTAGAGAGATGAATAGGATTTGATTATTATATATTTCCATATGTGCATTATATTGGATCTATACTTTTGTATATTTAAAATAACTTTCAAAAGATCTTATAAAAATTCTATAACAGAAAAAGAATCACTCCATCTAGCCTGAATGCTGTATCTTTCTTTCCTATTAGGATTTCATAACCAAGACCCTGGATCCTAAAGATGCTTATTATATTGGCCTTTCGGATCCGGGTCACCGACAGTGGCGATGGGTTGATCAGACACCATACAATGAAAGTGCCACGTGAGTCCAGAGTTATCTAGAAGAGTCCTGGGTCCTGTAGCATGAGAAGACTTTAGGGTGTTCCAGCTGTTGGTTATGAAACTAAAACAGCTCCCTGCTGGTGTGAGTGCTGGGGATGGAGTTACTTTGTCCCCATTTCCTCATCAAGAAGGCCTGTGAGACACAAGTCATTGATATTCTCAGGACAGATGAGGAAACTGAGTTTGAAGAGTGTAGCATGATAAGTACCCAGGGTACTCAACCAAGGTGCTACACCATGGTGGGTTTTATTATGCTTTCAATCTCTCTCTATATTTTAAAATAGGATTTAATTTATTTTTATTTGTGTGTATATGGTGGTATTTTATTTGTACTGAAATGTGATTTTAATTGTATGTTAATAAATAAAGTTGCCCCGGGGTTCAGAGCAATTAGAGCCATAGCAAGAGTCGGTTTGGTGGTGGTGCATGCCTTTAATCCCAGCATTTGATAGACAGAGCTAGGTAGATCTCTCTGTGTTCAGGGATACAGCCAGCATTGGAGACATACGCCTTTAAGACCTGGAGGGGCTGTACTTACAGGCAGCAGTGAGGCAGTCATGTGTTTGGGTTTACAACCAATGAGAAGGCAGAACAGAAAGACTATATTAAAGACAAACACACAGGAAGTAGGTCTCTTTCAGAGAGGTAGGAGCACCTCAGGAGGAAGGGTAAGGTTTTAGCTCTGAGCTCTGACCTCTTGGCTTCTTCTTTACATTGGTTCTGTGTCTCTGTTTGAGTGTTTGTAGTAAGTATGTGGGTACCCATGGAGCCCAGAAGATGGTGTTGGATGCCCTGGAGCTGGGGTTACAGGTGGCATGAATGTACAAACATGGGTGCTGGGAACAGAATTCTCACATTTTCTGGAAAAGCACAAGCACCCTTAATTCCTTAGCCATCTCTCCAGCTTTTATTTATATCTTTATAATAAAAATTGATGTTAAGATCATAACTGATTATTTCTCTTAAATCAAAAGTCCTCAATCTAATATGTGTGTTGTATTTATGTAATTATTCAAAAATTTAATATCTTAGTATGTTCC